ATCTAAGTCCAGTTGCATGGAGGAATGTTGAACTTAGTCATGACTTTGACCAAACTGGTGCACCAATTTTGGGGAAGAAAGCGTTTGTAAGCCATTCTTACCAATATGACTAACATTAGCAGTTGCTACAAGGGACTCCTGTAAGTCCACACCATGTCAGATGAAGCAACTTAAAGATGCCGCTTTTGACAATCATTCTTCTTGCAGAATGCCAGAATCTAATTTTATTGTCCACATATGTTGTTCCTTCCATTCCACAACGGGTTTCAAACACTAACATCTGTCAATTTTAACGAGATATGTGATTCTAAGTGGCATAGCTGATTCTCTTATGTCATTTTACACATATAACTGTATAAGTGCTCTTTTTGTGGAGTATTAGAGTATATGCTAGATTTGCAGAATCAATTAGTGGAAAGTGAAAACATCAAAAAGTATTGGCGGATGAGCATGTAATATTCTGGTCCAAGTGCTAACTTTTAGAATGTTTGATTTTTTCACCTTATTAAAGAAAACATGATCAAATGTGGTTGGTTGTTCTAGACTTGATATATTCTGATAAAAAGCAAGAACCGTTACATATTTCTTGAAACTTAGGCACCAAAGGCTGTTTATCTGGTGCTTCTATTTAATTTCTTTTTAACAACAGGTTTATGGAGAAGACGAATGGTCATTTGGGTTCTGTGAGCAAGGAACTGGAGTTTTTAGTTGCCCTGCTAGAAAGAACCCAATGTACACATATCGTGAATGCATTGTTCTTGGAAAAACAAACTTATCCAAATTTAAAGTCAACCAGATCCTGAGAGAACTTAGCCGAGAGTGGCCTGGAAACTGTTATGACTTGCTGTCAAAAAACTGCAATCACTTCTGCAACGAGTTTTGTGAAAGACTCGGTGTCCCTAAACTTCCAGGTTTCCCTATACTCACTTCCCGTTGTAATTTGTGTAAAATTTCAATATTTTTTATTGGCAATATACATAAAAGCCACTATATTTAGTGATATAAACCACAAGAAGGGTGTATGAGATGAATGATTTAGTATTTATATTTTACAGGTTGGGTGAACAGGTTTGCTAATGCGGGTGACACAGCTGTGGAAATAGCGGAAACCACAGCTGTTAGGGTGAGCATTACTTTACTGTTTGTTTGAGTTGCTATTAATGAATTTTATAATTGAATTTGGTTTTATTATTTGAAATGAAAAATACAGTTCAGACAAGCTAAAACAGAGATAGTGACAGCTAGCAAAGTGGCATATCGGTTTCTTGCTGGAATCACTTCAAATAATAATAATAGTAATAATAATATTGGTCTGGATTCCCCTGGGAATAGAAACAACAACAGCCCTAGATTTCAACAACCTTCCTGGTTTAAAAACCTTGTGGCTGCTGGAGCAAAACCATCAACCAGTACTACAACTACACTTGAAAATGAGAAACCACAACTGCTGCAAAAACAAGAGTCTCAGGTCTAGAAGGACATTTCTTCCTGCTTGCTTTGTTTGTTTACTAGTTTTATAGACAGGTAAATCCTATCCTATGTTTGTTCCATTTATGTGTGTGTTTTTTTTTTTCCCATTCATGCACAAAAGGGATTCTATTTCATCATTCTCTTTCTTTGCTTTTCTTTGATAACTAGAACTCTTAGATTCGTTGTATGTGAAGTGCATATGTTATATATACTTGAATTGTGTTGTTGAAGGTTTATAATACGATATTTGTGCCTCGGTTAAGCTAAGCTCACTAAACTCCCATTTTTTGAATAGGACAAGACATAACAGATTGTATTGTTTCAGTTTGTTTGTGGACTGATGTTGATGGGGGCACAATTGCAATTTTTGGCATAAAACAATAAAAAAAAAGATGAAACTAGATGGAACATAGACCAGTGATATTTGGCTTGTGCAAAAAAGCGTTACAATGATAAGCACAAGAGGGTTGTATTTATGTCTTTTAAACAAGATTGAAAGCTAGTACTATACCTTATTATCCATCGTTTTAGTGAGACAAAGGGGATGTCTGTGATTGTTTTTATTTAAAGTCTCTGTTAGTTTATGTTAGGTTATTACTACCAATAAATATTTTTTAAGTGGTTTTTAATTTATGTTTTGCTTGGGAAGGTTGTTGAAATTGTGAAGATTGAATTTGGTGGAATTGGTTTGATGTTTGGTTGGTGGAAGTAATTATCTTGGAATGGTTGTTAGAAAATGAGTGGTTGTTAAATAGGTGAAGAATATAGTATGTTTATGAACCATTGGTTTGGTGGTTCCTAATGTGAGTACTGGCGAGGCGTTGTGTTAAGGGCATATGAGTCGGTGGGTGAATTGAAAGTGAGTGTGTTTGAGGTTCGTAAAGGGTGCTGAGTGTTTGGATGTTGATCTATTTTTTTTTTTTTTTTTTGAAGTTTGGTGAATGAGAAATAGTTGGTGGTATAAAAAGAAATAATTGGTTGCTATTACATGAATGTGTATCAAAATAGGTTAGTAATTTTTGAACTTTTTTATTTATTTGAAGGGTCAAACGGTCACATGACGTGACCGTTACTCTCTTCTCTTTCATGCATTTACGTCTACGTTCAAGTTATGCAAAGCCATGATTACAAATTTATGGAGAGATGTTCACTCGTAAGGATAGATTGGGTGCCACATCATCCTTACGTCAGGCCTTCCGCAACCATATCCAATGGCTTGAAAACTCTTACAAAAACTCATAAGTTGTTCTAAAATTTAATACACATTCCAAAACACCCCTAAAAAGGTACAAGACATATCCCATTGTTTTCTACCTTGGATAAGACCAAAAAAATAAAACAATTTTGTCGAATATTGTCCATTTTAATACATGTTAAAGGTAGTACAACATGTTGTCTTGTCGGGTTCTACGTAACAAATAACATTAACGTCTCTTGTCAGTGTTCTACATAACAAATAACACTACTAAGGTGTTGTCTTGGCGTGTTGAATGTAAAAAAAGAAGGCTTGAAGAAATACAATAAGAATATATGCAGAATTGTTGGCACGAATCAAAAGCAATAACCACATGACTGAACAACTATAGAGTATAGAGTCGGTTATGTAAATATTATTGATAACATCCATCATCAGACTGCAATAATGTAGTTTCCTTAGGGAACAATATGCTTTCAAGAAGAAACATGATCAAACGAACACAAACCCCACAGCTCTCACATATTCTCACTCAAACAAATACACACAAAATAAAACGCTTCACCCTCTCACCATTCTATTAAAAACAAAGGCATTGACATTGACAGCATCGTCTGCAATCTGGAGAGAAGATATAGCCTGTGCCGCCATTAAAGCACCCTCTGACACATCCCCTACACCTTCCCACTCTCTCTCCTCCACAACTTGAACATCACCCAGCCCGTACCCGTATCCATACCCGTTCCACTCACATCTGGGTCCTCCATAACCACTCGAAACCCAACCCGTTTCCCCATTCGGACTCCCCCAAACTTGACCGGAGTCATAGCATCCCCATGAAGGATACCATTCCTCATCCTTCTGGTTCTGGTCGGATTCTTCACCGATTAGGACCTGCAAAGCAACCGCCTCGGCTATGGCGGCACACTCTTCGTCTAGCCTTTGTTGTTCTTCTCTCTTCTTCTGGTTCTTCTTCTCCAGCTCCGAAATAATGGCGGCTGAAGCTGCCAGGGCTTTTTCCAATCGACGTTTCTTCTTCTCTGCTTGTTTGATTCGATCCAGTTCGTCCTTCACTTGCTTCTTCTTAACTTTTCTAACAACAGATGCTGCTGATTTACCACACTCCATATCTTAATTCTATATAGAAACAGAAAACTAACACTTTCTTAATTACTAAAATTTCTTTCTTTCTTTCTTTCTTTCTTTCTTTCTAAACACTATAAATCATCACTATCACTATGATCGTTTTTGATCTAGATCTACAAAGTACGAACCCCTGCCACTACACCCACTCAGGTCTAAACGAATACCTCATTTTACGAACGATACATTCCCAAACGGATAGAACTGGACACAGCATAAGAGAATATTGGCTACCGATTAAACCACCCCTCCGCATCATTCTTCTTGATTTCTCACAGTCTTCGTCTTCGTCTCTTGTAGAACAAATCAAACGATCAAGTAATTCAATACAGATCTTACTCTTGCTCAAATTCACATGGCAAATCCACCTGCACACAAATCAAATCGACGACTTTAAGGATCCGAATTAGGATTATTCTAGATGAGGAAAGATACGATTTACTTTAGAATAAATACTCAAGTAATTTGTAAGCTTCTAGGTGTTCCGATTTCCGTTTAATACGATGAAACTGATTGAGAAAAATCTATCCATTGATTACTGGAATTCACTAAGAAATCAATCGATTATTCCATCTATAAACGAAAAATTAGGGTTGTCACAATTTACTAAAATTCAAATCAATTATTACCGAATACACAAACTTTAATCCAACTACGCAACGAATCAAGCCAAAGATCCGTAAAATCAAAGCAACTACGGAATCAATCTTCCACTCAATAAAACGAACTCCAAAAAAGAAAAACACAACTGAATTAATTATAATCAAGTCATACCGATTGCAAACCTGTAAACCTCAACAGGAAACCGACATGATCTATAATCAAGAGAACAAAGCAAAGCTGAATTGAATAAACAAATTCAGATCAAACTCAAACCTTGTGATAAGAAATTGAATTGGGGGGTCGTTATCGTTGGTGGTTGGATCTGATGATGAAACCAAAGCGAGAGAAAGAAGGAAGGAAGAAAGAGCGAGGTAGATGATATAAACACGATCACATGATAGATAGATCGACAAATTGGAAATAAAAAGGGTAAAACGGTAATTGGAGTGCGTGTGTAGATTAGAAAGCAAAACAAGCGTCAAGATCACGTCGTCGAAAAGTAGGCGGTTGGATGGGTTTGTAGCCGTTGGATGTATGCAAAGTTAACGGCTGCGATCTCAAACAAACACTGAATCCGTTAAAGTCAACTTCTGCCGTGCTGGGTTAAATTAGTCCAATGGTTTTATATACATTTTTATATGGTATTGAGAAGTTATGTTGATTGTTGGAAAATAAATTACTTTAGCTGATATTTTTTTTAACACGTATATATGTAACCAGAAATTGTCTCGTTTCCGTTTAACAGGGATTCAAGCGGGGTCGTAATTGCCTAACTATGAAATTATAGGGTAGAAACTTACAAATATACAAAACTCATTTGGCAAAATGTGAAGACAAAAAAGTAGAGAGATAGACATAGCGATATCATGCGGGGGAGTAATCTCGATATATAAAAAATGTTAATCATAGAAACCTTTTTTTTTTTGTTAAAAAAACACCAATAATGACATTTTCTTTAAATTACAAAATTATAGGGACTAAATATATCAATATTAAAAATATTTCTCACAAAAATTTTGTAATATAAACTATTCATAAGTCATTTATATTTAATATATAGTATAATGTTTACATAATTTATAATTTGTAGTGAAATAAAGGAAAGTTATATAAAATAGAGTTGTTAACTCGAGTTCTAAAAAACAGAATTCAATTATCACAAAATAATGGCCTTTTGTTCAGGTATTTGTATTGGGTTGTAGGTTTTCCAGGTAATTGTAGACTAAAAATAAGGATCAAAATAACGTTAAACATGATTTGTTGACAATATCAAGACTTAAAGTTTTTACGAGTCATGACGATTCATATCGTTTGTAAGACGTGATTTAAGACGATAATATTTGTAATATAGTTATATATATATATATATATATATATATATATATATATATATATATATATATATATATAACTTAAGGCAACATTTTGTTAAAGTGTGATGACAAGTACAACCCTTAGAGTCATGGAGCGTTATGACAGAATCATAACAGGTTTTTTAGAACCTTGACTAAAAGTATAATCAATACCTAAACCAAATTAAACTTCGGGTATTTGGGTTTCGGGTTAAATCGTGTAAATAAATAGATACTTGAAATTTTTGTCCTATTTATTTAATTCATTAATTATAAATGATTATTTAAATGAAATATTATTTATTAATTTTGTAGCAAGTTGCTTATAAGTAAGGACCATGTATATGTAAATATGTAATTTTAATACAGTAGGTCTATGCAAGTAATATTGAGAATTTGTGATAGCATGCCCACGGTGGATTTAACTACATAAAATTTTCGTGTGTTAATTTTTTTATTCATGCACTTCTAGTTCTTGACATACATGCATGAAAGAGGGGTAATAATAAAATTGTTACTCTTTTCTTGTACATATTAAAGTTGCTTCCTAATCTGTGTTTAGCATAAATTGACCCCAACAAATATGAATGGAAGATTGCAATGTTACACACATGAAAACATTAATAAAAGTTTAACCAAAATCAAATGATATTAATTCAAATCAAAACCAAGTTTCACACCACAACCGAAACAATGTATTTTGCAATCAAAAAAAAAAAAAAAAAAAAACTACGTCATAAATTTAAAAAACACAACAAACCACAAAATATATTTAAAATACAAATGTATCAAGTTCCAAAAGAACTTCACAAATATATTCATTCTTCTTGCACTTTTACAAATCACAACTTCATCTTGCTTAATTCTATATATATAAAAAAAAAGTCAAATAATGTTAGTATTAAGAGCAAAAGATATAACATTTACAAATGTTAAAATAATAATCGGTAAACAATCACCTTTATCAATTTGTTGATTTTTTTCTCAAAATTGTTTGTAATCGATTAAGTCACTTATGTTACCTGAAGCAAATTTTGGATACAAATTAAACTTTTAACAATCGTATGAGTCAAAGAACTCCTAAAGGGATCTAAAACCCTCCCATTAGTGCTAAAAACGGAATCTGAAGCCACCATTAATGCTGGAATGTTGAACACATCTCTAACCACCAATGATAGAATTAGAAATGTTGGACTATTCACTTTCCAACAATCTAAAATATTAAACATTTACAATTTGTCTTCAATACTTTCTTGCAAATACTTTACTAACTCCCCAATTGATTCAACTATGTTGGTTTTCTTCTTTTCTATTAATCTATTTCTTTGGGGGGGGGGGGCTATAACATCCGGGT